GAGGGGGATTATTCGGTGTACTGCTGGTCAAGGTGAGTAGAATAAAGGTGAGGGGGATTATTCGGTGTACTGCTGGTCAAGGTGAGTAGAATAAAGGTGAGGGGGTTATTCGGTGTACTGCTTGTCAAGGTAAGTATTTTAAAGGTGAGGGGGATTTTTCGGTATACTGCTAGTCAAGGTAAGTAGAATAAAGGTGAGGGGGATTATTCGGTGTACTGCTGGTCAAGGTGAGTAGAATTAAGGTGAGGGGGATTTTTCGGTGTACTGCTAGTCAAGGTGAGTAGAATAAAGGTGAGGGGGATTATTCGGTGTACTGCTGGTCAAGGTGAGTAGAATAAAGGTGAGGGGGATTATTCAGTCTGATCACTATGGGTTAAGACATTTAAAAAGAAAACCATAACAGTTATCCGAGACACGACCTTTTCTACTTTCCAAACAATTTCAACACTACAGGGTTACCCACAAAGAATGAGATTCTTAGCAGTGACCTAAACCGGTTCAAAAGCATGGCTGGTCTTTCAAGCAACTTGTTTTGAATAAATTAAATTGACAAACAAATCAAATTATAAATAATGAATTAAATTATAAATCAGTAAAGGAATTGAGTCTTTGTAACAAACTCTGAGATTCTAATACCTATACTTTTCCACCTGATGGTGTAAACCTTTGATATTTCAATCTTAGATTTTTTCAGAATTTATAGCTTGAAATATCTAAGGTCTACGGCATTGGGTTACAAAGATTTGGAGATTAGAAAATCATAGTTTGTGACAAAGACTCATTTCCTTTACATAAAATGACTGTACATCCTTCGGAAAGATGTCTCTAAGTCTTATTAGTGGATGGGTAACCCTGAATCTATATAGAGCAACTTTGTCAACTTTATGGAGAATTTTTTTCAGGTTCGATAAAACCGAAAAAAAGATTTAAATCTGTGTAAGCCAACCTCAATGTTTTATAATAAGGAAGCATACTTTTTTTAAATCTTAAGCGTTTGCACTATTAAACCTGAATCACGTTCAAACATAAAAATATTTTAAGTTTAAAAATCAGCGAAGCGCACTTTTTTGTAAAATTGTTTCCATAAAAAACTATATGATATGGTTTCACGCATGGTTTTTCTTCTTTATAACTCATAAAAAGTTTACTAGGAGAAAGGCAAACACTGTTTAAACAAATCTGTTAAAAGTAAAAGTTTAAAAGTACTTTAAACAGCGTAAAGTGTAAAGCATTAAACTGTAGAGAAAATACCGCTAGAGTTGTATAGATAACATCAAATACTAGAGAGAGAGAGAGAGATTTAGGCCAAGCCTTATTTAACTTCAGTCCCTCCCCCTCCCCCTCCCCCCATCTTATCTCTTCAAAAGATATTTAAAATGTTACAAAATCGAATGCTTTAAAAACTGGTTCGTTCCATGCTATTCAAATTATTAACTAAAACTATTTAAACGAAAGAATTTTTCATTTTTCATATTTTGTTTTTGCCTCCTTTGTTAGATAATGTATTATGACATGCATTCTTAAAATATGGTAAACATTTCATATTCAGTATTCATATTGTTAACCAAAAAAAAAAAACACAAACTTATATTTTTAAAAACAATTTAATGAAAAACGATGTAAAATCTGAGCATATGAATGATTAGCTCATTTGATTTTAATTTGATTTTAATTTGATTTTAATTCTAAGAAAACATTTTCATCAAGGGGACTTCAAGCGTAATTTTAAGTCATCATCCATGCAAAGATTGCTTTGCCGATTCACAGCAGTACCCTCAAACGCTTTGTCTGAATTCACACATATGAATTTGATTTCAATGTTTATAACATTGAAAACAGATTAGTTTTATTTGTGGTTTCTATACAAAAGTGAATTGAACAATACGTATTTCCATTGCAAGAAAGCATATAGGAATTTTCAGAAATAAACACTTTTCAAGCTAGAAAAACGAAATTATCTTTCACATTTTTGATAAAGGATTTTAAGGTACCGTTGTAAATCGGGCATTGCTATGATTGCATGGAGGTGTGACTTGAAATTTTACACGTTTAGCCCCTCCGATTTTTAATTTACTGTTTTGGGTCTAAAATTGTAGTTCACTTACTTTGTTTGGTTCTGATACCTAGTCCCCAGGTTTCATCAAGAATAGGAGGTTCAAGACCGTCAAGATCTCCTTCAGTCAGTGAATCATCAATCTATGATATACATGCACTCAAACTCTGGTTTTTAAGTATTCGAAAAAGAGCGAGAAACACAAAATGTGTTAATTGCATTTAGAGAATTATAAAATATAAGTGCCAGAAATATATTTATATCCAATAGAGTGTCAATCAAATGTGTTTAAAAATTTATCACTTCTCAAAAAACAATTTATTGTTTTTATTTTTCGTTAGGTTCAGTTAATTAATCTTTAAATAAACTTACATCGTTGAATTCTCCAGAGAACTGATTGTACAGTTTGGAAATCCACGAGTTTTCATCTCCATTGTTGTTCTCTGCAATCCGGTCGATTTTCTCCTCAAAGTCTTCCAAACCTAAATATGGTTTAGATTAGTATCATCATTTTCATTATCAAATCAGTCACATTTTTGCAGGTCTAAAGATTAAAGCTTTAGTTTTAAGCTCAGGCCTTTTTTTTGGCATACAATCAAAGCTTACCTATTTGAGTCATTTGTATAATTTTACGAAACAATTTTAGAAGTTTTTTTTACATTTCAAATTTTATTGAATTTACAAACTTAAATTTGCGTCAGCAGCAATTCTGATAAAAATCTTCCACCATTCATAATTTACTTTTTGATGACCAAAACTCAATAACATCTAACAATTTTTCAATAATCTAACATGATTATTCTATTAATGTTATTAAATAAAACTTGTATCTTAAAATAATCAGTCTAATGTATTTTATACAATTTAATATAAAATAGAAAGTATATTTAGTAGATATATATAAATGAAAGAAGTATGTATAAAAAGGTTGAAATGATAGATAAACGGAAAGCTAGATAAAGAGTATCCTTTTTATATCCCCCGGACCATTAAATAAATCACACTTTCTTTACTTTAAATCCGTAATGACAGATCTCAATCCTAGAAAATCTCTCACTTTTTCAAACCTATTTTACAGGGATAAACAGGACATGCATAGAAGATATCTTCTAGTTCTTGAAATAATATGGACTCTATTAGGATGACTAAAGATGTGGTGTGAATACTAGGTTGTATATTCCTAGAGATAGGAAGGTCCATTTCCCTTCTCAATGATAGGATTCAAATACTTTTCATATCAAGAAAAGAATTTACATTTGAAAGATGGTTCTGCTTTATCTAACTCATCCTTAGACCATTCATGTATATATCAGAGGGGAAGTAAGGATGGTTAAGGTAGACCCGGATAATGAATGATCAGGCTGTTTGATCTTACCGTTCAGGATGTCATTAAAAATATCATTGTTGAATGTCCAAGTTTTCCTTCCGCCCCCTGCTGCAGCAAGATTAGTGGTGATAGCTTGGTACAAAATGTAAGTTAGTAATGCCCCTCCTACAAGGAGGGCTAGAACTATGCCTATGTCTTCAGTTTCTTGATACCCTCCCACGCCATAGCTGCAGCCACCATAGCCATCTCGGTCATAGTCATAATCAATGTAGCCACCACCGCCGTGTCGTTCGTAACCATCATCATAATTCTTGTAGCTATCCTTATAGCCATTATTATTGTTGTATGAGTTGGATGAGCCACCATAAGAGCCATAAACTCCTTTCTGATAACTAAATGAGTGGTCTCACAATTTCTGGACATCCATTTAGAGTATGAAATAGATTAAAGTCTTTGAGTGCTTTTTTAGTGAAAATGCCAAATATTACTAGACTTTAAATTTAATCATGATAAATAAGTTGAATGATTATACCCAAAACATTCAAAATAAAGCACAAGAAAAAAATTGAAGCTGTCCTTTGAATTGGAAGGGTTGTGCCTGTTGCCGTATGATCTCAACTTTACTTCTTCAGTTTCCGTTGGTGCAGCAGTCATTATCTTCTATCTCTAAGTAAATCCAGTAAAAGAGCTAGGACTGGAATCACAAACATTACCATTACAGAGAGTCCAATTCAATTATTGAGATTACAAAGCAATAAAACGCTCAACCTACCCTTAAAGAGAATGGTCTCTAAAATAAATTCCTCCGACACTGGTTCTCCCGCAACATTTCGTCTTTTCCTTCTTCCACCACCAGCAGCTGCTGCAGCTGTTACCGCAGTATAGAGAATGTAGAAAGCAAGGGCTGCAGCTGCCAGCAGTGCTATTAATGTTCCCTGTGAAATAATCCCTCCTAGACCTCCTCCTCCTCCTCCACCTCCACAACAACATCCTCCACCATACCCACCATACCCACCCCCTCCAGTCCTATCCCAGTCAGTGTATGCCCCAACCAAATCAGAGACACCACGATAACCCCGACTGTAGCTAGGGTTATTTCTTCCGAAGATTCGACTCTCTGGCCTGTGTCACAAAATTCATTGATTTCATCTTGAAATTCAAAAACCAATCGCAAAGCACATTAATATTATTATAGGACTATTTACACCACTTTTTATGAAGCATACATCATGGGATATTCTTTACAGCATTAAGTTATTTTCTGAGAAAGCAAGGAACAACATATTTGCTACAGATTCAAATGTTCTAATCCCTATATCTTTGCAACCTGATAGTGTATACCTTTAATATTTCAAACTTAAACTATTTGATTGAACAAAATTCCTTGTTTTACAACATTGGGTTACAAAGATATAACAATTTAAAAGATTAGAGTTTGTTGCAAAAACTCATTTCCTTTAATGAACTGAAGTTATTTCTGAGCCGTAACATTTAAAAAAAAAAAGTATTTTAGACTTGTGCAACTGTAAAATGTTATTATTCATGCACATCTCTGTTGGCTTATATTAAACCCTTTTTATGTGGAAACTTAGTAAAGTTTTTTATTTTGATTTCCTTCACATTATTTAAACTGTCTAAAAAAGAATCAGGTCTTAGCCACAAACTTTATTTTCAAATTCATATATCTTTGCAACCTGTTGTTTGAAATATCTAGGGTTTGAAATACATTGGGTTGCAAAGATATAGACGTAGATTATAAATGAATAGTTTAAACTTTTAATTTCTTTTCAGATCCCCCCCTCCCCTCCCCCCCTTTCCCCATAAACCTTTTTTATAGATACAAGGGGGGTTATTATCAAAAAGACAAAGGTCATATGTCCATATCTAAGAAACACTAGTGTAAAAAAAACTATTAACACTAATGCTGTTACACTTTAAACATAATTAACCCAATGAGGGTCAATAAAACAATTAAACTGTAAAATTATAACCCCCCCCCCCTTCCACCCATTTGTGTCATTAAAATAAGTCTATTCAATACACTAAATTCTAAAATGAAAGAATATCCCAACACATGTTGGTTCTTATAAATCATCCTCATTGTTATCGAGAATATGAGACTTGTTTTGATGAATTTTGAACCTATATTCTGCGGGTTCCATGTCCTAGCTCTTTTACTAACGTGTTGATGTATGAGGGGGAGTAGGGAAACTGTGAAACTGACCTAAGCCACAACCCAAACCTAACTGTATCATGACCCAGGCCTGCCTTCAGGCAGTTCATAAATAATTCAGGCAGTTGCGAGAGTTTAACTCAATCGGCGCCGGATAACTGGACAATTGTTTCTAAAAGAAAACATACACATAGTTTTCTAATCCTTGTAATATAATCCTTTTATTCTAATTCTTTAATTGGAATCGTTGTATTATAATCCTTTAATTCGAATCCTTGTATTCTAATCTTTTAATTGGAATCCTTGTATCCTAATCCTTTAATTGGAATCTAATTATTTAATTGGAATCCTTGCATTCTAATCCTTTAATTGGAATCCTTGTATTCTAATCCTTTAATTCGAATCCTTGTATTCTAATCCTTTAACTCGAGTTCTTGTATTCTAATCCTTTAATTTTAGTTTTTAATTCGAATCCTTGTTTTCTAATTTTTTGATTCGAATCCTTGTATTCTAATAATCCTTTAATTCGAATCCGTGTATTCTAATCCTTTACTTCGAATACTTGTATTCTAATCTTTTAACTCGAATTCTTGTATTCTAATCCTTTAATTCCAATCCTTGTATTATTATTCTTGTAATCTAATCTTTGTATGCAAATCCTTGTATTTTAATCCTTGTATTATCATCCCTGTTGTTTAATCCTTGTATTATAATTCCTGAATTCTAATTCTTGTATTCTAATCCCTGTAGTTCAATCCTTGTATTCTAATCCCTGTATTTCAATCCTTGTATTCTAATCCCTGTAGTTCAATCCTTGTATTATAATTCCTGTATTTCAATCTTTGTATTCTAATTCCTGTATTCTGATTCTTGTAGTTCAATCCTTGTATTTTAAATTATGGTTTTCTTATCATTGCACGTAATTCTTGTACTGTATAAATTGTATTCTAATCAATGTATTCTAATTATTGTATTCTAATCATTGTATTCTAATCATTGTATTCTAAACATTGTATTTTAATAATTGTATTCTAATTATTGTTTTCTAATCATTGTATTTTAATTTTTGTATTTTAATCATTGTATTCTAATCATTGTATTCTATTTATTGTATTCTAATTATTATATATTTAAATACTTGAATTCTAATCACTTTATTCTAACTTTCTAATCTAATCATTGTATTCTAATACTTGTAATCTAATCCCTGTATTAAACTCTGTGTATCGAATCCAAGTTTTTAACACTTTTGCTATGATATTTTATTTTAGTCCTTGTATCAGGACGCCTTGCGTTTCAATTACTTGCACGCTAACCATATTATTTGTGAAGAAATTTGCTCAGCAATTAGATTTCCCAACAGTTAGGATAATTTCATTTTCAGCGCCAATTATAGTTATGTTAGTTATGAACATTAATAAAATTGCATGGCAGTTTCCAGATGACGCTTTTTCATCTACTTTAGATAAAAACAGATAAAGTCTTTTCTGATATACCCAGATTTCAAGCAGATTGTTTGCAATCTTCTCTCAACGTTTTTATTGATATTTATGATAGTAATTAATGAATGTGCAATGAGAGAAGATCATTAGGTAAGAAATTGAAACTTACCAGACCATACAGCATCTGCTACGTAATCAAGCAACTGTTTAGGGGTCGGTGGGCCTGATTTTAAGCTCCTACCAATGGTGACTTGACGGTAAATAAGTGCAAAAGCAACTGCAGCTCCAGCAAGAGTAGCTAATACTAGAGCAGGGTTCAACCCTTTATCTTCACAAGTAGTAGCATAATCAGTACCATAGCTCACCGGGGTATAACCATACCCGCTTCCATAACCACTTCCACCTCCCCCATATCCGTTCCTGGTGAGACCAGTTGTTCCATAGCCTCCGGCCCCGGTCAAACCTACATTACCATATCCGGAAACTCCTGGGCTTGAAAACCTTCTATTTGGTGTTTCAGATATGTTATAATCATAATCAAGATTAGAAAGACCAGTCCCTGCTGCTCCAGCCACATTGGACACTGTACGTTGGGTAAAGCTGTTTCCTTTCTGTCGGGCCATACTCTGTCCCAACCTATTCTGTCCCAGCATTGTGTTCCTGTATCCCAGTGTATTGAAGAAGTTAGAGGCTCCTCCCAATGTGTCCACCATATCAGCATAGTTTACACGACTCTCAGCAACGTCATGGTTATCTCTGCTTTCCATTGCTACCATTGTGTCATCTGCTTCAGCCATTTTCTTATGTTCTGATGTCATCAGGCCAATTAATTAAGAACTTCAGTCTAACTACAGTTACCGAGATCTTTAGAATACCTTCTGTATTTCTTTAAAATGAAAAGGCAGATATGCCAATAATTTTTTTATTTTTCTTATTATTTTTTTTAGCAATAATAGATAAGATAAAAGATAAAGTGATTAAAGCTTTCTTTAATATGAGGCGAGATGATTTCTTTTTTTAAAAAACCCTAGATGAAAAGGGTTCATTCATTAAGGCATCAGTTTAACTATTTTTTTTAAATTATAAGGTCTAGAAATTTTTCTATATATAATACTTTAAAAAAATGTTATTGTTTAAATTTCATGAGTAACAGTCTCTTTTGCAAATCTTAATCATCATTCTTTATCTTTAAACAAATTTTATAAAAAATTAAACTAAATAAGGTAATATAGATAGAAAGAAAAATAAATTGGATTAAAAGAAAAAAAGTGGCTAAGGAGAGAAAAGGAAGTTGATGAGGAGAGGAAAAGTATTGCATAAGGAGAGGAATTGAAGGGATAGGGAGAGGAAAGGAAGTGGACTAGGAGAAGAATAAAAGTGGATATGGAGAAGAAAGGAAGTGGATATCGAGAGGAAAGGAAGGGTATAAGTAGAGGAATGGAAGTGGGTAAGGAAAAGAAAAGAAATGGATAAGTACTGGAAAGAGAGTTAAAAAGGAGAGAAAAGGAAGTGGATATGGAGAGAAAAGGAAGGGGAAAAGGAGAAGAAAGAAAGGGGATAAGGAGAAGAAAGAAAACTGATAACAAGAAGAAAGGAAGTGGATAAGGATAAGAAAGGAATTGGATATGAAAAGGAAAGGAAGGGATAAGGAGAATAAAGGATGTAGATAAGGAAAGGAAAAGAATAGGATTAGGAGAAGAAAGAAAGTTGATAAGGAGAATAAAGGAATTGGACAAGGAAAAGAAAGAAATTGGATAAGGAAAGGAAAGAAAGGGGATAATGAGAAGAAAGGAATGGAATAAGGAAAAGTAAAAAAGGCGATAAGGAAAGAAGAGGAAATGGTCAGAATTAGGGTTTGCAGGGAACGAAATGTTTTGCGAAAAAATGCAAAAATTCGCAATTTTTTTTGCGAAAATGAATGAAGAGAAAATGCGAAAATTGTCGCAAAAATCATTGGTGTTGAAGCTGTATTTTGTCTTTTCTGATGAATTTTCGCCCATATTTTGCCTTTTTCTTTTGTAATTCTAAAGATTTTGCGAAATTTTCCAATTATTTCGCATAATATTCGCATTTCTCATTTTCGAAAATTTCGCATTTTAGTGAAACAGATTGAAGTGAAATTTCGCGAGGAAACAAAATTCGAAAAAATGCAAAGATTTCAGCGAAAACATTTTTCCTTTTCGCTGCAAACCCTACTCTGAATCAAAATCAGAAAACTGATCAATTATTTTGATTTAACGTACGCCAGATTTTTTTGTATAAATAAATTTCTATTTTTCATAATTTATATTTAGAAGTAATATTGTTTGTTAAAAAACATGAGCAAGCATTTTTAATGTTATAAACTTTCCTTTAAAATAAAGATATAAATTGTTTTTAACACATTTGGCACACTTTGAGAAATTTACTGCTTTAAAGATTTTCCCACGATAGTTAGATTAATGGTTACTTCTTTCTTTTAATAAATCAACTTATCGCATCATTTCCGCTGAAATGATGAGGGGTATTGCAAGATAGAAAGATAGATAACAGCCGACTTTATAACTACAATAAAAAACTAAAAACAATATTTTAAACATCAACAACATTGACAACAAAAATAACAACAACAACATTAATATGAACAATAATTTGAACCAATACAACAACAATACCAACACCAACAACAATAAACAACAATAAAAATAACAGCACTGAAAGTAACAAAAAATAAATAATAAAGAAAATAACATCAGCTTTTTTAATGCTGAATATAAGAAAAATATTAATAAATTAATACCAAAAATAAATATATTCTCTAGATCTTCTGTGAAGAGCGGAGAGAAATACAATTCTCGTTTTCGTCTTCCAATAGCAACTATTTTCGTGTATAAAATATACCACATAGTTAAAACTCCAATCAGAATGATTGCAATGAGTCCAATGCTAAATTTGGGATTTTTAAACTATGTATTGATAAAAAATTAATAATTTTTATTAAATTAATGCTTTGGTTGCGACAGCTCAAAGTTGAACTGGTCTAGAATAAATATTCATTGTTCCACTTGGTTATGTTCAGATATAGGGATTAAATTTTAGAGTTTTAAGCAAGGGATAATTTCCTTCAAATCTAAAGATTTTATAAAAACAGATTTAGTTTAAAATCCCAGCTTCCCTCACTCCCTCTTTGCATTCGAAAAAAGTATTTGTATTATGGTATCCATCAGGGCTAGCTTGTAAGTCTGTTGATTTGTCTCCGCTAGCCTGCAGGTCAGGCAGCCTAGTGGTTACAAAGGTTTTATGTTTATCAGTTAAAGGTTTACGCACTTTTGCATAAAAACGTTTTGATTTTTATTAACTTTCCGGGAAAATGAGCATTTTTTAATAATAACAAAGATGAAAATTAAGATCATTTTTAAAATTTTTTCTGAAGGGTGCGCATAGAAAAGCTAAAAATGCTATTCGCTTTTATTCATAATTTGTTTGATACATATTTTACCCTGTATACCCTAAATCTTGGCTTGAGTCGGAATATGTATCATAGTATTCATAATAATTGTTGTAGTTGTACAATGAAGGTTCCATCTTTGATTTATTTTTGATTTGTATTGAACATGCCCTAGAAATTGTTACAGAAATCTTTCACCGTAAAACATTCAGTTTAAGAAAGTGTGTGTTTTATTGTGTTTAATGTTTTTGCATCTATTTATCTATTTATCTAGGTATTATTGTGTTTAATGTTTTTACATCTATTTATCTATTATAATCAGCACCCAACCTCCTTTAGCTGTAAGCTTACTCCATCGCTTTCACTTTTAAAACTATCTGTATCAAGCTAATGAGTTGGGCATCTTTATGTCTACAAAGTTATAATCTCTGTTTGTCTGTTTGTTGGTCCGATCATAATTCAGAAACTACTTGACCGATTTGTCAAAAATCTTAATTTGGGAACTCGGGAGAACCACGGGAATATTCTTAGCTTGGTTTTGAGATTCTTAGTTGAGTGGGTAGACTTCAATCAGGGAAAACAACTAAAATCGTAAGTTATGACAAAGGGCGGGTAATCGGCGGGAATATCTAAAAGTGTCCTGGGCAACGCTGGGTTCCCAAGCTAGTGTATTAATAAAAAGACTGCAGTCAAAATGCGCAAGTCACTTTTGTGGAGAAATTAAACACATTAATTCGTAATTTATTCAAAAGTCAAAATTAAGCAGACACAGCTTTCAAGGGTACTATTGTGAAACGGGCATTGGCATTTTGGAAAAGAGGGTCATTTGAAATTATGCTTACAGTCCCTTTTAATCAATTTTCATAGATTTCCATCCTTTGTTTGGCGTGAATGTGAGTAATGTGAGACCCCCTATTTTAATCTAATTAAAAGTAAAAATTATATTCGAATTTTAAAATTGTTGCTTTACAGATTTGATATTTCATTTAAAAATATTTTTATCGTCAAAAAATTTGAAAAAACGAAAAATTAGAATTAGAATAATTTGTAATCCACTTTGAAAACGTATTCAAATATTTGTAAAAAACCTTTTACTAAGTTTTTAAAGAAAATATTTACATTTAAATTTAACTTGAATTCTAAAAAAGCATGCATTTACCATGAATGAGGTTAATATCTAGATCTTCTAAAAAGTCCCACAGGTTTTCAGGAACTAATTCTCTTTTTTTTCTGCCGCCCTTCACAGCTACTATCTTTGTGAACAAGATAAACGCCAGTAGGCCTTGACAGTAGGATTTTAAAATCGACGTTTTTCAACGATAACAAAATCATTTTTGAACCCCTGCTACTTTTTTGCTATTTTTTATTATCATTGTTTTCAATAAAATTGATTTAGTTACCATTTAGGATTAATTAGAGATGGATGCCTTTTTTTCAATTTGTTTGGATCATCGATTTTGTTCTTTTTTTCAAAAGTTAATTTACATAAAACTTTGTATAAAAAATGTTCCGTAAAAACAACTTTAAGTTTATCAAATTTGTTCGAAAGAATCGTTTAATCTTAATAAAATGCGTTAATTTACAAGAATGATGCCCATTTCTATTTTGTGTTGAAGAATGTCTTCTTAAAAACCCAACCTATCCCAAGAGCAGTTATTAAAAGCAACGCTATGGATATCCCAGGACATTCTTTATATCCAGATGCATAGCTACCATAGCTAGATCTATCCATAATCTGATCATATCCACCATCTGGATACACACCATTCAAAATACATTAGAAATATTCCCTCACAATCATTTTAACCCTATCTCTGCTGGGGTACTTGAAAACCAGGATATGCTGGGGGGGGGGTCAATTTGCCCCCCCTCTAAATCCCATGTTTGATGTCCAAATATGACAAATGATACATCATTGGAAAGCTCTTGTGCTCTTCTTTTAGAATCTGCCAAAAAATTTGCAAATTTGCAAAAATTAAATTTTTTATCGCAAAATCCAGTTATATAGTAAAAATGTTTTAGGCCTTAAGGGAGGGGGCTTTGGGAATGTAGGAAAAGTCAGAAAATTTCAACAGCCTCAGACCAATACTTTTTGAGTTATGTAAAAAAACTACGATTGACCCCCCCCCCCAGCAGGAATAGGGTTAATCGAATGTTAAAAGTGTGGACTTTATTTTTTTAGAATTCTGAATTTTCCTGAAGCCTGCTCATAGTCCCCGCCCGATTTATATCCATTGCTATATCCGGCATTGTTTCCATATCCATTATAGGAGGTATAGGAGTTGGTGCCATAACCAACACTATCCTGTATACGACCAAATTGTCCCCTAGTTAACAATCAATAAATCAAAACTAAGCAAAAATAAAAACTTGAACCGAGACCTTTTTTCTTTTATAAAAGTGAAACTTTTTCATGATTAA